TATTTCAAGAAGACAGTAAAATATGTTGGAGAACCAATGACCCATTTGGAGTCCATTGCTTCATCTGCTGTATGTCAATAATTTCCTCTCTTGCCTCCGATTTAACTTTTCATCATGTCAGCTCTTACTCATACTTTTTTTATGCATTCTTTGATTTATGTTTATGATTTTTTCTTAGGTACGTGCCGCTATTAAAGTTAAGGCTTCTGTCCTTATCTGCTTCACTTCATCTGGAAGAGCTGCCAGGTAATGTTTAAACTGCACGAATCAAGTATGGAATTGCTATTTGGGTTCTAACATTGCAGTGCTAGTTTTAGCAAGTTGTGCCCCTTTCCATTTGCTAAACATCCTGAATGTTTTCAATGTCTTTAGGCTAATTGCAAAATATAGGCCTACGATGCCTGTTATATCTGTGGTCATTCCTCGGCTTAAGACAAACCAATTAAGATGGAGTTTCACTGGTGCTTTTGAGGTTAGCAGAATATTTTCATGATTTCATTAATATGTTCATGCTTTATGCTTCTAGAATTGACCATATATGTAGTATTCACTTTTGCAAATGATCTCTTTAGCTTTTTCTTGAGTGCATCGAAGTTGTGTAGTAACTGTTTTTTCTCAATGGAATCTGCAGGCAAGACAATCTCTCATAGTGAGAGGTCTTTTCCCTATGCTCGCTGACCCCCGACATCCTGTAAGTTTTTCTCTATTTTTAGGATTCTATTTCTAGAACGCCTGAAATAATAGAATTTATTAGTTTTGTGCGGCTAAATAACTTTTGATGTTCTATCTATTTTTTGTGTTTTGTGATGTGGATGACCTAGGAAGTTTTGCGTGATATGAATGTTGTGTAGGCAGTGTTATATGTTTTACGTCTAATAAAGTTGATGCAGGACTAACATGCATTAAAATGGATGAAAAAATAATTTGCACGATTTCCTGAATTAAGCAAGTAAGATTAAAATTGTTAGCAATCAAAACGATAATAGAAAACAAGAGAGGGGTGCCTACGTTTAGACCAAGTCACATGCCGAGCGCTAGGATTATCAAATTAATAGCGAAAATCAACAACATACGAATGAAGTAATTTTCAACTAAAAATCCCTAATCTAACAACAAGATTAGAAGCACATAAAGCACGCTCAATCCTACATTTACTAAGCTTCGACATAGGCACGGCTCCTTGTGATTCGTCATCACCTACAAGGTTAGTGGATTAGGAGGATTATTGAAAAGGGGAAGAAGTTTACCTTTGTCGAAGCCTGGAAACAAGTAGTGATAGGTTGAAGATGCTCGTCGTAGCATCTCTTGAAGGTTCAAATTAGAGAGAAAGAAGTTTCTCTAGTGTTGAAGTGTTGAGCACGCTAGTTGGTACTTCCCTTGAACGACTTCCATAGGAGGGAGATGAGGGATTTGTTTCCAAAACTCAATATTAGTTTTTGAAAAGTAATTAGGAGGTGTGGGGCTTTGGGAATTTCGGCCAAGGAGGGAGCATGAGAGGTTTGAATTAATTCCAAAAGGGGAGAGGGGCTTTAGGAAATAAATCCAAACAATTAAGGAGGGAGGGGCCGGCGGCTTAATGAGATAGGGAGAGATTTTGGGGAGAGTTTTGGGTTACTTAATTTGAGATTTAGGAATTAGGAAAGAAATAATTAAATCTCCTTTAATTTGAAATTCAAAAAGGGGTTTAATTAAGTAACTTTTCTAAAACAGGTTTCCTAAATCAGGAAAGGATTTCAAATTCAAATAAGTTTGAATTTGAAATTAAATCTTCCCAAGTTAAGAGTGGATGCTTATGGGAGGTAATCAAGAGGGAATTTGAACTTGGAGGAAGGGGAGGGGGATGGGAGGCCGGCGGCTTGGTGGGCTCTATGGGGGATTTCGGTGGGGTGAGGGTGAGGTTAGGTTGGCCGGTGGTTTGGGTGGTGGGGAAATTTTAGTGGCGGTGGTGGGAAAAGAAGTGGCCGGCGACTAAGGGTTGGAAGAGCCTTGGCCGGCGGCTAGGAGATGAGATAGATAATGGGGTAATGACGAGGAACCACAAACCCGGCCCGTCTTCAAGGTTGGTGGTGATCCGATTTTCCTCTCATAGGGATTTCTCCAAGACTCACAAACTCTCACATCAAGAGAACAATACGCAGAAAATTTTCATAATATTTATTCATCACCTTCAAAGAGAAACATAGGGGCTATAAATAGTCTCGTACAAAGGACTCAAAATAAGAAAGACGACAATGCTCTTAGGGCTTACATATGACCTCCCTTAAAGTAAGGGTTAAAAACGAAAAACAGCTACAACATAATAAAAGACAAATTCATAATAATAAAAGAAAACAAATACATGGAATGACTAAAAAAAAAAACATCGACTCGATCGTGGCCGTAGATCGACGGCCACGCCTCAGATATACTTTTCATGCTCTGATGTCCCCATCAAAAGTCCTTCATGGGCGACAAATTTGATCTATTTTGTTTTTTACATAATACTTCTTACTGGTGTGTCCTCATCAAATTCTTTTTTTTTTAAGCAACAACTGTGTTATCTGAAGATACTAAAAAAAGCATCATAATTATTGGGTTTATTATTTGGGAGACTTAGGCGTTGTTTGGGGTGGCTTTCTTGCTGCTTTTTAAAACAGCTTTTTAGCACAAAAATTTCTAATTCGAAAAATTTTATACTAAAAAACTGTTTAAGAAAGCAATAAGAAAACCATCCCAAACGAAACCTTAATGATATGTGTGTCCTCATCAAGTTCATTTTTGAAGCAGCCATTGTGTTATCTGAAAATACCAAACAAAGCACCATAGTTGTTTGGTGTTATTTTGTGGGAGACTTAATGATCTGGCTATCTGTATATGAATTTATTCTTTTTCATTAAGGTTTCGTTTGGGACAGCTTTTTTATTGCTTCTTAAAACAGCTTTTTAGTTTGAAAATTAAAATTTTTATACTAAAAAATTACTTTAAGAAGCAACAAGAAAGCCGTTTCAAACGAAGCCTAAATTTATAAATTGCCTGATGGCCTGGTAGTCCTGGTGTTGAATCTAGTCATTTCAGTGCTGTTATGATACAATTTAATTTTTTTCTACTTGGCTTTAACTTTTATGTCAGCTCTATTTGCGGTTTGTTTTAATGGTTTTCTCTTCACAATTTTTTAATGATCTCCGCAAAAGATTTGCGTGCTGCTGATTCATGTTTGACCTTTTTCACCCCGCAAACTCTGGAATTGCTAATTTTTTTGCATTTGGCCCAGGCTGAGTCCACTAGTGCCACCAATGAATCAGTTCTGAAGGTTGCGTTGGAATATGGTAAGGCCTCTGGTGTGATCAAGACACATGATCGCGTTGTTGTTTGCCAAAAAGTGGGGGATGCTTCAGTGGTGAAGATCATAGAGCTTGAAGATTGAGCTCCCCTGAACTTTTCTTAGACTGCAAAATTTTGTATTTGGTATCTATAACTTATGTTTGGCTGTTTTGTCAGCTTTTTGAGGTTATTGCAAGGTTTTTTACATGCTTTCAACTGGCCCCGTTTGCCAGCTAGTAATACATAAGAGACTAGAACTTGATTGCAATCATTTGAGTCTCTATTAAAGTTCTGCTGTCTGCACTGTAGGGTGCAGCAGGTTGATCATAATCATTAAATTATTTCTGAAACTATCTTTATGTATGAATTTTCTCCCTTGTTTTGTATATTAATTGCAATGATGCAAAACGTCTTTATTCGTGTATCCAAATGAGAGTACAAATCAGAAGAGGATGTTCTCCGTCATAGGACCTTCAAAGAATTAGTTGTGAACCATCTACCAGATATGATGATCGTTCTTCACATCTCTCTATAGTTGATAACAAAAGTTACTCTTTGGATTCCTCGAGTTCTGCTCAGATAGCATCGTTGTGCTTAATCACAAAAATAAAGCATTACTCTCTTATAAAGAGGCCTCAACGACAAAAGAAGGAACATTAATCCCTAACCTTAATATTTAGGATAAAATTTTAAATTATCTTACTAATCTAATTTAGTTAACTTAAAAATATTAAATATTAGTCTTTCAAGGTTAAGTTTTGAAGATATGCTTCATAGATGAATAGTACTTCAGTTAAATTTTTTATTTTTTGAGCTGTCAAGTTGCATTGAGTAGTCATATTATATGAGCTGTAAAGTTATGTTATTAAATCATGGTGTATCATCAAATCATATTTATATGCATATATTGTCTTGTTATATAGACAATATCAATTAGTTTTATTAAATGTTCTTCATATTTTAGTTATCATAGCTTAGGTGTGCTTTTATGTCTATATAAGTTGCAGATGTAGAGGTTTATTTGACTAGCAAGATATGAAACTTGTAGACTTAAGTTTATTTGCTAGAGTTGTCCAATCTCTCATGCCTTACTTCACAATGTATTTACAATGTATTTGTCGGTAATTGATAAGATTCAAAGAATTCTCACCATTCAGATGATTTAAGAGGGAAGTATGCGTTTGAAAGAAAGTTTGGCTATAAGGTATGATAAGTGTATTTAAGACAAGGTCAAATGTAACAAAAATTTTTGATGTGTTATGCATTTTTGGAGCAAATATGAAGATTGTTTATTATGGCATACACATGATGAACTTATGAAAATAAAGTTGTATAGTGTCGGCGATGATCTTAGAGATGCGGGGTGGAGATATGTACAACAGTGATTCATGGAACATGGTGGGCATTTGATTTCGCTGGACTTTCTCAGGGGTCGTCGGGTCAAATTCGTGAAACCGATTGTGATAGAGAATGTTTTGTTGAGGTGATCATTGAAAGGTCAATGGTCGATGTAGATCATTGTATTTTTTATCATAAATAGTATCCTAGACATAATGAATTTCTATTATAATCCTATAAGATGGTTATTGGAAATGTTGTATTAGGAAAGAAAGAGTTTTTGAATGGAGTGGACTGACAGTATATTCAACAAGAGTTTGAGTATCACTTTAATTGTTGTTCAACACAGACCCAACTCCAAACTCACATGCAGATGATGAGTAAAAATATGTAACCTGTTGTTTATGTGCTGATATCAGTTGAGTTACTCGTTATTTTTTCCTTCAACTATTTAGTTCGTGTTATGCTATTTTTTACTTTGTTTTGTAGTTGTTGAATGAATGCTAGTTTGATGTGATTTGAAAAGATTTATTCAGGAGTAAGAAAGCTGTTAGTTTTTTAAAATCTTCAAGTTCATATTAATCATTTGTGAACATGTATAACATCATAATGACATCAAAATAAAATAAAATGTACTGCATAAACCATGTCTAAGGAGTACACTTTCAACATCACAA